ATAGCAAACATATTTCATTTGCAGCATTTCTCTAAAATTATCCGTATGATTTGACGAACGGGAAAACCTGGAATTTGACAAATTCTACCAAACACAATTACCGACACGTCAGCGGGTACTACACTCACCTGAAGTACCCACCTTGTTGACAGATGGTGAATTAAGAGAATTTGGTGTAACAAGAGCAAAAGAAACTTAACATTGTCTAATGATTTCTGATTTGTCCCTACCTAAATTGAACAATGGTTTGATTGATTACACTTAGAATAGAACTTTCCACAAAATACTAGAAAAGCAAATGTAAAGGATATTTTTGCAAAAGCGGAACGGAGTGCGGAAACACTCAGAACCTAATCACAGAAAGACATGTGTGAAAAACAAAATAATATCAGTGGTGGAATAGGAACGCAGACATCGGTGAGACGGAAACAAATAGATTGAAATGAACACGAGCCAAACTACAACATTCACAAAAGTGCAACAAACACTCCACTGAGACTATTTCAGACGAATAACAACAACCAATAACTGATTGATAAGGAGAGCATTTGAGAAACACGTGTATGGTGGGAGACTCACATGTGTTGAGATTTGCCGTGTTCTCCTCGTTCATCACAGTCACACTCACAGCTGTCACGTTGATAGAATAAACAAAGAAAGCAAAATAGCTTATCAACAGTTGAGTCGACAAACGGAATATACACAAATGGTCAACTCGTGATAGAACATTGATGGAGAAGATAAACCACGTTAAATGATATCACACTTCAGAATGCGCAAATAACACCAGCACATGCATCCAACCTACACTACGAATATAAATTATTTGTCAGGAATAGTATGATGCATTTTACAGTAATATCGGATGACCCATGTCCAATAGAAATTGTTTATTAGGTTTGTTCAAATTTCTCCCATTTTCCGATTTCACTGTACTGTTTCCACTATGATGAATTGATTTCTACGCCTTAGTAAATATTAACCATAAACTCAGATGACATTAAATGCATACACTTACATATGTCGATGTTTACTAATACGACAGTTTCACACATGAAATTTCCACGCAACACTACATCACACTTCTATTGTCACGGTGAAATACTTCTAGATATTTTCGTTTTCATGAATGTGTAGATACCGTTCACAATTGAGCCACATTTACATTACGATTGTTAGATTACTGGTTATGTGATTATCTTACATTCCGTTTGGGTTGTCGATCCTTCTTTGTTCAGTTTCTTGTCTGGTAGTTCATCTGCAAAATACAAGCATTATAGGTATGTGAAAATACTGATGATTCAGTGTGGTGATTCAGTTAGTGAACACAATCTTATGAATTCTTTCAATGACATTGCTTTAATCATTGCTGTTGAATTAGATCATGCTCAAGACAGCTGTGATTTAGTTACGTAATCAATGTTGTAACACGAGTGAGTGTGTGAGCTGTTATTTGAGTTATCGTTAACCTGCACCTGCTACATGTACAGAAATGCATGTCACTGTCACCTGGATCACTACACTCGATGTGCAGAATAATAGAGACACTACTGAAATTTAGGAGTTTTACAAATCGTCACACTTAGATCACGGAGTACAATGTTTGTTGGGTCTCTCAATAATTTTCGTCATGCTAAGAAATGTCAATTACTTCCTACTGTTTATGAGAAAACACACCGTTTCTCTTGAATTACACATTGAGAATGTAAGCGGTGATAGCGTCGAGGTTTTGTAGCATGATTTCTGTCATTGTTGATATTGATGTAAATAAATCAATTCAGTGGTTGTTATCAAAACACTTGACACAGTGTACGTCTACTGGAAATATGTGAGTCAAATTGCACCAGTTATCCAAGTTAAATTTATCCAACTAACATCAGTCAAACCTAACTAGATTTATAGCAAACATATTTCATTTGCAGCATTTCTCTAAAATTATCCGTATGATTTGACGAACGGGAAAACCTGGAATTTGACAAATTCTACCAAACACAATTACCGACACGTCAGCGGGTACTACACTCACCTGAAGTACCCACCTTGTTGACAGATGGTGAATTAAGAGAATTTGGTGTAACAAGAGCAAAAGAAACTTAACATTGTCTAATGATTTCTGATTTGTCCCTACCTAAATTGAACAATGGTTTGATTGATTACACTTAGAATAGAACTTTCCACAAAATACTAGAAAAGCAAATGTAAAGGATATTTTTGCAAAAGCGGAACGGAGTGCGGAAACACTCAGAACCTAATCACAGAAAGACATGTGTGAAAAACAAAATAATATCAGTGGTGGAATAGGAACGCAGACATCGGTGAGACGGAAACAAATAGATTGAAATGAACACGAGCCAAACTACAACATTCACAAAAGTGCAACAAACACTCCACTGAGACTATTTCAGACGAATAACAACAACCAATAACTGATTGATAAGGAGAGCATTTGAGAAACACGTGTATGGTGGGAGACTCACATGTGTTGAGATTTGCCGTGTTCTCCTCGTTCATCACAGTCACACTCACAGCTGTCACGTTGATAGAATAAACAAAGAAAGCAAAATAGCTTATCAACAGTTGAGTCGACAAACGGAATATACACAAATGGTCAACTCGTGATAGAACATTGATGGAGAAGATAAACCACGTTGAATGATATCACACTTCAGAATGCGCAAATAACACCAGCACATGCATCCAACCTACACTACGAATATAAATTATTTGTCAGGAATAGTATGATGCATTTTACAGTAATATCGGATGACCCATGTCCAATAGAAATTGTTTATTAGGTTTGTTCAAATTTCTCCCATTTTCCGATTTCACTGTACTGTTTCCACTATGATGAATTGATTTCTACGCCTTAGTAAATATTAACCATAAACTCAGATGACATTAAATGCATACACTTACATATGTCGATGTTTACTAATACGACAGTTTCACACATGAAATTTCCACGCAACACTACATCACACTTCTATTGTCACGGTGAAATACTTCTAGATATTTTCGTTTTCATTAATGTGTAGATACCGTTCACAATTGAGCCACATTTACACTACGATTGTTAGATTACTGGTTATGTGATTATCTTACATTCCGTTTGGGTTGTCGATCCTTCTTTGTTCAGTTTCTTGTCTGGTAGTTCATCTGCAAAATACAAGCATTATAGGTATGTGAAAATACTGATGATTCAGTGTGGTGATTCAGTTAGTGAACACAATCTTATGAATTCTTTCAATGACATTGCTTTAATCATTGCTGTTGAATTAGATCATGCTCAAGACAGCTGTGATTTAGTTACGTAATCAATGTTGTAACACGAGTGAGTGTGTGAGCTGTTATTTGAGTTATCGTTAACCTGCACCTGCTACATGTACAGAAATGCATGTCACTGTCACCTGGATCACTACACTCGATGTGCAGAATAATAGAGACACTACTGAAATTTAGGAGTTTTACAAATCGTCACACTAAGATCACGGAGTACAATGTTTGTTGGGTCTCTCAATAATTTTCGTCATGCTAAGAAATGTCAATTACTTCCTACTGTTTATGAGAAAACACACCGTTTCTCTTGAATTACACATTGAGAATGTAAGCGGTGATAGCGTCGAGGTTTTGTAGCATGATTTCTGTCATTGTTGATATTGATGTAAATAAATCAATTCAGTGGTTGTTATCAAAACACTTGACACAGTGTACGTCTACTGGAAATATGTGAGTCAAATTGCACCAGTTATCCAAGTTAAATATATCCAACTAACATCAGTCAAACCTAACTAGATTTATAGCAAACATATTTCATTTGCAGCATTTCTCTAAAATTATCCGTATGATTCGACGAACAGGAAAACCTGAAATTTGACAAATTCTACCAAACACAATTACCGACACGTCAGCGGGTACTACACTCACCTGAAGTACCCACCTTGTTGACAGATGGTGAATTAAGAGAATTTGGTGTAACAAGAGCAAAAGAAACTTAACATTGTCTAATGATTTCTGATTTGTCCCTACCTAAATTGAACAATGGTTTGATTGATTACACTTAGAATAGAACTTTCCACAAAATACTAGAAAAGCAAATGTAAAGGATATTTTTGCAAAAGCGGAACGGAGTGCGGAAACACTCAGAACCTAATCACAGAAAGACATGTGTGAAAAACAAAATAATATCAGTGGTGGAATAGGAACGCAGACATCGGTGAGACGGAAACAAATAGATTGAAATGAACACGAGCCAAACTACAACATTCACAAAAGTGCAACAAACACTCCACTGAGACTATTTCAGACGAATAACAACAACCAATAACTGATTGATAAGGAGAGCATTTGAGAAACACGTGTATGGTGGGAGACTCACATGTGTTGAGATTTGCCGTGTTCTCCTCGTTCATCACAGTCACACTCACAGCTGTCACGTTGATAGAATAAACAAAGAAAGCAAAATAGCTTATCAACAGTTGAGTCGACAAACGGAATATACACAAATGGTCAACTCGTGATAGAACATTGATGGAGAAGATAAACCACGTTGAATGATATCACACTTCAGAATGCGCAAATAACACCAGCACATGCATCCAACCTACACTACGAATATAAATTATTTGTCAGGAATAGTATGATGCATTTTACAGTAATATCGGATGACCCATGTCCAATAGAAATTGTTTATTAGGTTTGTTCAAATTTCTCCCATTTTCCGATTTCACTGTACTGTTTCCACTATGATGAATTGATTTCTACGCCTTAGTAAATATTAACCATAAACTCAGATGACATTAAATGCATACACTTACATATGTCGATGTTTACTAATACGACAGTTTCACACATGAAATTTCCACGCAACACTACATCACACTTCTATTGTCACGGTGAAATACTTCTAGATATTTTCGTTTTCATGAATGTGTAGATACCGTTCACAATTGAGCCACATTTACATTACGATTGTTAGATTACTGGTTATGTGATTATCTTACATTCCGTTTGCGTTGTCGATCCTTCTTTGTTCAGTTTCTTGTCTGGTAGTTCATCTGCAAAATACAAGAATTACAGGTGTATGAATATATTGATGATTCAGTGTGGTGATTCAGTTAGTGGACGCAATCTTATGAATTCTTTCAATGACATTGCTTTAATCATTGCTGTTGAATTAGGTCATGCTCAAGACAACTGTGATCTATCCATGTATTTTATCTTGTCATATTGAAAGCTTAGTCAATTTTTAATCTTTTAGTTTTTATATTTTGTCACTTTAGTTAATGCAGTGTACGATTCTTAGTCATGAATATCTTCTGTCATTTCTGTGTTTTCTTGGCCACCGATCTATTTTTATGTTCTTCGTTTTTCTCTTCTTTGTGAATTGGCAGTCCTTTTACTTCGTTTGTCGTAAATTGAATGCTCAAATCGATAGCACATTTTCTTCTCTTTTCTATCGCGTTTATATAGGGTTTGGTCATTGTTGCCAATATGAATAAAGTTCACATGTCGACGAATTTTGCGTACATTAAAATTGATGTCTTTTACCAATTTATATATGACATCGAATACACAGTCTCCTATGTTTAAATTGATAAACATGTTGTATAAATTTTTGAAACTTTCATTTCACTACTATTTACATCGCTATTGGTAACAACTTTGGTAACTTACATTTGACTTTTGCTTTCTAAAATCCAATGAAAATGTTTTGTTATCAATCACACTGAATAAAGTATTAAATTTGAACACTTCACTCGAAATTCAACTTTTGCCACTCAATCCTCAATGCAAACGTATATTGACGTTGCTGTGGATGCAAAACACATGATTTGCGCCTAATCTCACTACAATATTGAACAGCATCGGATCTCATGACGTACAAGCACACACAACTCAGTGACACGTCAAATACTTTTAGTGCATCGTCACTTAAACTATTTATCAATTGATCAATTCAATGACTTCTGTTTATCTTACTACTAGAAATGCGTTACAGAAAAGAAATGTTTTCAATCATTTGATAGTTTAATCCATGAACTCACATTCATGACGTTTTCGTTTTGATTCCGGTAGAAGAGAGAATAGTTTGAAAATAAACACCTTCGTTTTTATTTGAAAACGAAATATCAGGTGAAGAAAATTATGCTCAAAAAAGAAGAATAACACAGCTCAACTGCAATTTCAGTCCTGTAGATTCTACCACCACCAGACAAACACCATGCTCTGTGACAGCCTGACGTATATGTGATTCAATGGTTCATTATATCGTGATATTTCGCAAAGATTCACGTCATTCAATCGCCTGAAGGTGACAGCAATAGAGAAGCCAATCACCACTTATCTCTAGTTATTTAATTAGAGATATAGGCGTGTTGTGTCTATTCGAAATGATTTGAAGTATGATTCAAAATTCAGTACAATTTGTGCCCATCTCAATATCTGTTACCGGAAACATGGTACGTGTTGTGTTATGGATGTCATTGAATTATCGTGGTTATTACACTTCGTCATATTCAACATTTCAAGAATCTGAAATGCCATCGGTTAAAACCAATGGTGGCCTCAATTTCTCAATATTGATTTCCCTAATGTTTTCATTTGTCATCGGATTGAATAGGCAATGAGGACTGTGAACTCGATAATTCAACAGACGTCAGTCAGTAACTTGTCCGTACGGACAATAATACCAATTCATCGTCTATGTGGAAACACAATATTTATAACTGTACATCTGGCCTAGATCTACATGATACATGTTGTCACTATGTGGGAACATTTATAATTATCCTGTCCTTTAAGTTTGTGCAATGTAAGCACTGAACTATTGAATGTGCATACCATCTTCTTCACCAACCTTTCAATATCGGAAAATTTTGCAAACAATGATAGACATGAAAAAATATTACCGATTGTTGGTAAAGAGAAACGGTCTCCACGTCTATTGAACAGAATGAACACTTCTGTGCTTCTTTCCTTCACTTCTGTGTGGTTCATATAATATTCAACTTGATTTCGTGGCATGATGAACATCTCCAATCTATTTTTCGAATGTCCTCTAAACATCACTGTGGTGTCGACTTCACATGTTGATTCTTCTCTTTCTAATGTCATACGTGAAGATGAGTCAGACTGCATTTGTATTCGAACATTTTTGATCCTCGGAACTGTGAGAAAAGACGATGAAAATGTAAGGCAAAATGAAAGCACACAGTCACCAACAACGTTTGTTTGAGATGCTTTGTTTTAATCTGAATTTGCCAGAGCACATGGAATATTTAACTATCGATTACAATGTATTCACTATTAGAATTCTAGACAAATATTCTTACAAGTATATTACGTGTGGAAACTGTTAAGCAGATTCTTCTCTGCTCTCAGTACAAAATACATGAATACAGAGACAAGATATAATACTGAGCAACTGCAATATAATGACAAGCTCACCTCGTTCATATTTAATGTAATATGTTAAAAAATCGTAGTTCAATTTATACCAACTATAGTAACCGATAGCTTCATAGTTTGTCGCTTCACACGGTTTCCCAATGGTTGGCAAATTTCCAATATCTCCAGCTTCAATTTTTCTTGTAGTGCTTCCAAACCAGCCTGCTGGTTGTTGTAAATATACATATGAAAACGAATCGTGCTTCATCGGTTTCCATTCAAACGACAGCGATTCTGTCTGTTCTTGAATTACACGCAAAGTATTTGTGCTTGGGTTTTCTGTAAAAGTATCCAAATAATTTGCATTCACTTTAAAACGAATTATAAATATGTCACTTATTGTCAACCACACATGATCAACACCATTCATTTGTCGCATGTTTCGTCTGGTTTCAAATGTGTGCATAGGAAGCTTTGGTTTTGGTGTAAACGAATATACAAATGAAACTGTGTACACAAATCCTCTTATTTTTAGGGTAAGCTTCAAAACTGTTTTTGTTTGCAAGACGTAATAAAGTCGCATGATGAGCTCACGTTAGGCTACTAGAATAAGAGCAGCATTCAGATGCGTCACTTCGGATGCACACGTATGACCGACTCTTATGGTTAGGTGGACTGGATGGATGTCTGTCCGGCGACTTGGATCACCAGTCTGTGGAAAGTGTTTTGATGCAACGACCTTACTTGTTCTCACTTAGCAAGTGCGTCTACAGGGATGTCCACTAGTGACAGTTATTAAGAATCTGAGTCAGCTGCCAGTTGATACGTACATTGTTGGGGTCACTCATGTAGTTTGTCGAACTACCAAATCGTTTAATCGTTTGATGTCATTGTTTAATCATTACATTATATCAGTGAACCAAACACTCCGTTGTCTACTGCCGAATCAAATTGACATGAATATTATTATTACATTAGACAAAATATATTATCATTCATCCATCCGAAAAAATAACCACACCTACTTCCATCCATATTCGTCTTCAAGTATGCCGGCTGAAACGTCCCAATCACCGTCTTTGATGATAAGAATGCTAAAGTGATCAGTAGAAAAATAAAAAGAAGAAGAAAAAGAGGAAAAACATCAAACATGCACGCATGTCCGAATATCATTCGACAATGACCTGTGTTTTGTGTAATCATTTTGATTAAGTTCACTTTCCATGACAAACCTTCTGTGATATCTCCATCTTGTAAACGTTACTTAATTGTAAACTGAATAAATTCCGTGTAATCCTCCGAATAAACGATGACGCTTCGAGACCAATATCTCAACACCATAATATTGCCAATCCAAGTTATTTATAAAACAAAACAGTGGATACATAGCCGATCGTGTCTTTCCGCAAAATGATCATTGACAAACTCATCGAGGTAAGAATATCGTGATAATCCCAATAATTAATACAGACGATTTGCCATCATCAATTAATAATAGTATAAACACTATTATTTTTAATATACTGCTGATAATATATGATCAGTGGAAAAATAATGAATAGAATAAATGAATATAGTCTCTCTTTCTCTCTTTCTCGTGTTTATTACATAGAAAACAAACATTTATCATATAAAGATTTAACTCACTTATCATCAATGATAACAAAAGGGATATACGTCCTGAAGCCTCTACCATGTGTCAGTTCTTTACAACTGGTAGTCAGCAATTATATTTAATATATATATATATATATATATATATATATATATATATATATATATATATACACGTTTTGAAAATTCTAGACAAAATATTTTCAACAATTGTGTAAGTGAACTAGTTGAATGAGACAGACAGTCTGTAGGGTGCTTTTCTATAAGGTCACCTGAGTAAATAATTGAAAACCTTCAATCAGTTTAGACTCTATATCACATATTATCGTAAGACTAAAATAAATAATCGCGTGATAGTTTACAATTATGACATTCAGAAATTATTTCGTATTTTTATTGTATACTGATATGACTTTCGTCTACTTCAGTATCGGATGATTATTAAACGTATGATGATTCTAAATTACAACAAAAATTGACTTCTAAGCATCTCTGTGAATATCAAAACAGTGTTCACATCAACGCACTCAATTTCTGTTATGAATTTAATGTAACTGCTTGTTACTAGATCTTCATGGAATGAAACTCTGATTATATTTTATGGTCGACTTTACACACTTGGGAATGATAGACTTTATCGTCTGCTGTCAATCGTCTGACGTGATAAGTAATTTCCTAAGTGAAAATGTCATCAAATTTATTGAGTCATACCTCATATGAAATCAACGTGTTGAAAACATATGATGTAATCCTTAGTTACCTTGCTTCATAATACTGATACGTCTGTTGCTCAAATGCTTCTTGTCAATTTTCAGATTGCCCATTTTCGTTAGTCCTGGACGGTGTGGGCGATGCAGACTTACCTTAGATTTAACAAATTTCCACACAAACGCACATTTCATAGAACACTAACTTCTCCAATTCTGTGAACGCTTCAAGGATTCAGTCACGAAAATTGCGATCAATCAGCATCAGTGTGATATATAGTTTGCCAATATTTTAATAGTTTTCATGACGTCTGATGATCGGGCCTACGTTTTAAGCCTCTTTTGAGCTATGGTAATCTAATGGAAGAATGATCTGGATCTATTCATTGCACTGTCATTAGTATCGAATTTCATTTGTGAATTATTCGTAGGTAGCCACAATGAGAGTTTCATAGGTAAGTGTCTAATGCTCAATAATGTTCATGTGTTGAATATTTGGTTATGATATAGTTCGAACTCCGCTTGCACCTCACACAGTGATCACAAAGATGCCTACGCCACGTTCAATCATTCATTTCATATACTACTCACGATTGACTGACAACAAATCAGATACATGTTGATAGATTCAGTAGCTGGTAGACTCAATAATACATTTGTGATATTTCGTCTCATTAACTGTTGTTGTAAACATTACAGGTACCAAGACATTTCGCGTAACTGACTAAAGTTGCTTGAACTGTATCAGACCTATCACATACGCTTAGATGCTGACATACTAGAAACTGCAAAACATCCACAACCATGTATTGATTGACTGTGACCACTCACTACTAGGTAATTTCACATACAACTTAAGATGAGATGATATTCTTTGTGTTCCAGATATTGCTGAACAAAGAAACAAGCATTCCATGAAACAACATATACGAGGTTTCACTTCTGTGTGCAACGATTGTTCATTTTCAGCGCGTCAAGGCAACGGATCACTCGATTAAGTACGAAGCAGTGTCTTTTGATTGAGAACTATATTTCCATCGACGTTGGTGCGTAATTCTCGACGTATGATTAGTGAAATTACACCATATCGTGTGTGTACATGTGTACATATGCCACATCCATCCCGTATGGCAATAATTTGGACGATTTTCCGAGAACAACTATTGGGATAGTCATCGTTTCCCGATTAAGTACATTCGTAGTATGTCGTTTACTGCATCTCATTCTGTATTCAACTTTAACCTCACACAGTCACAGCTACGATTAATCATCTATTCATGCAGGTCCAGTGAGTGTGAGTTCTTTCTTGAAATAAACTTGCACAATTTTCTTAATTACTGATCATGACCACGTCGTTTACCAGTTGTTCTAGAAAAGCTCACTGAGTGACTCGTTTGAGTCTATTTCAAAGAAGACGAAAGGTGCGCAGAGTTCGACCTATTCCATGTAAAACTGAGTTAAAATGTTCATATCAATAAACCCAAACACGATTGTCTAAATTTCCGACAAAATGTCAACAACAGAATTATCCAGATCACCGATATTAGACTACAACTAACAGTGTTACTGTTGAACCTCCAAATCATATCTATGGAAATATGGTCATGATCGTATACGGTTATTATATTTGGGATCATATACACATTTTCAGTTCTCGTCTAGAACACTTTCATCGTTTTTACACATTGCGAGGTGAAATTCGTGAATATACGGAACTAATCGTCAGGCTCATTTCTTTCAGCATTCACTGAAAAACACGTTGATACGATTCAACACCATCAAGACCAATAATATTTTGAGGTGTAAACGCCTGCAACATTTCTTCAGAAACATATAAACCAAGCGGCTTGAATTTGTATCTGAACATTCCGAAAGGCCTTCCATAGTAAAATAAACTAGCACTCACAACACACCTAAGAAATCCTTACATTTAACAGTGGTTCAACCCTATAACACTAGTTACCAGTAGTCAACACTAGATCTGATTAGTTTCCAATTTGCCTTTGATTAAGTCACCATGACGGTAGCTCAACTGAATTATACTTCGTTAATTATCACAGTTTGTACACTTATCACAAACGATCGTGAGCGTTGTTTATGTGCATAACAATAAACACACTCTCTTCCGTTTTGAACAGCTCATTACATGACACACTCTGCTAACCGATCGTAATTACACTGGTACACACTCGTTTCTCGTTCTCCATTGCCTGTGCTTGTGAAAATTTAGCTGTAAAATATTTATTATCTACATTTATAGATTATGAACATATTTCCACTATATTCTACGCCTGACTGTATGTTGGAATTACAACAGCATTACTGGAATTAACAATTATCTACAATTGTGGATTATGGTAACAAATGCAGTTTGTACATGCCAAAGTATACTGATTTAAGGAACGTCATATTACTTTTCTTTGTGTTTATAAAGTGTAGTTTGTATATTATAACATTAACATTTGGAATAAATATTTTTATTGTCCTTTTTGAGTTAATATAATTTTTAGTCCAGCACCAAAATGGTATCTAATACCTGAGTCAGCGCAATACTACGCATCCATATTTTGAGCTTTATGATGCCTGTTATGAGTAGTATAGAGAGTTAATCCTACTCATTCTATTATATGCTCCTTCTTATAGCCATTGCTTAGATGGGATTAGCCCAGGTGCACATGTGAAATCAGATGGAAGATTTATAGTCATAAGTTATTTATCTGTTCCACCGAACGCTGATCAGATCAGCGAACCACTAATGTTCTAAGCATGGAGTGATCAGACTCTCGGGATAAACAACGTTTGTTCCAGATGTTTAACAAATCTCCATTCATAGCACCTGTACTCAGTAAACGTCGTCTTCAATTTTCAAACGACACCATGTTCTTAACACTTATCTACCTGCAACCACTGTTTGTTTAGTCGACAACCCTAGCTATAATAACCATATATACATCAAACTGCATTCGGCACATTACCAACTGATTGATAAGCAATGTGTTCATCTTATCTATTTATTCACAAATGTAACAACGTGCCGTATCACTCATTGCTCCTAAACATTACTTGACTGCTGAAATTAACATGCTACTCACATTGTGCTGTAAGTTGGAACAAGAAG